CCCCTCCCCCACCCGATTGAGAAAGATAAGAGATGACCAACCATAACGTGATCTTCCCCTCCATATCGCCGATAGCCACATACGGCTCCCGCGGGTGAATCTGGACTGCGGTAATTTCGTCTTTCGTAACGAACCTGCGAAGGAATGATTAAGTCAGGTCAAAATAGGGACGAAACTCTACTCATTTGGACTGCAGTTCGGTCGCCACTTACGTTCGAAGGTACTCTTCCCGGGTTCGCTTTACGGCAACCATCGCAAGATTCACAATGGAGAAGGACTTCCGCGTCGCAAAAATCAGGAAGCTTCCCGCCTCGTTTACGTCGAATCCACGCAAAACCGGACCGCGCTTTTGGATAGACCGCCGGTTCGAATTCGTCGAGCCTGATAGGGGGAAAAGGACCAAGTTGTGCGCTAGTTGGCCCTTTGCGTGAAGCTGTTCGCTCGTCTGCAAAAACACTTGACCGGCAAATAGAGGATGCGATTTCATTTGAAGAATCGGGGCACCGACTTCCCAGGACTGGAAAAGGGAAGGATACGCAGGTGCCGAGGTCAGTCAGGCTAACCAGACGCGCGCAATACTCACGGACGGCATTAAAAAGCTCACCTGCAGCAGCAATCCGTCCGTGAAATCCCACAAACGAACAAATCCATCAGCCGAAGAGGTGTAAATCTGCAGAAAAAAATACAGGCCCACCGAGCATCATTAAGTTCCATCCCGCAGCAAACGATCTCCTGCACCCCGCGCCGCGTTTAGACGTATTGTCCCGAGTATTAGACCGCGCACCTGCAGATAGTTGTGGTGATTCAACTGGACGGACGAGAAGGCGTTTTCGCTCTTTGTTCGCGACGGTACGGAAAGACTCCTGATGACCATGCCCGTCGACACGCTGTACACTTTGACGCTCGCGCCGATGCAGCAGAAGAAGTAGCTGATGAATAGAGAATGAGGTATGAAGGAACGTCAGAGGCTGAAACGCGTCCGTATTCGCGCGGAACAGGAGCGGCCGTTGCCTACCCCACTCACACCACTTGGAGAAGCCGTACCTCGTGTCATTCGAAAAGACCGCTTTCCCCGAGCTGAGCTTCCCTCCCGCGGTCGACATGCTCCATCCGTAAGATCTGGTCTGGTCCCCGGAGGCAACGGCACCTTCCGCCTCCTCTTCCTCCTCCTCCTCAGCTTCGCCATTATCTTTTAGGGAGGGTTTCTTTGGTTTGTTTCTGGTGTCGCGCCGGGCACGGATCACACGTTTCTTCTTCGGGGTCGGAACGGGGGTCGAGGGCTGGGGCGCGGGCGTTGCGGGCGCGCTTGCGGGCGCGGATTTCGGCGTCACGGACAGGCTTTTCGTGGTCTTCGCAGCTGGGCTCTTGCCCTTTGCCGGCGACTTTTTCGCGACGAGCTCTGGCATTGTGGAGCGGGGGTCAAGGAGGAGCAGGCGGGGAAAGAAAAACGACGATTCCGAGAGAGTTTTGCAGCAGGAAACTTGCGGGGAGGAGGTCTGGAGACAGTTAAATTCAGTCGGGAAGGACTGGCGAAGGAGGGGTCAGAGAGCGGAGACTGGGAAGTTCTCCAGTTCCGGTGATTAGCAAAGAGACAAGCGAAAAGAACGACCAGACTCCCCGCGCACCCAGGGCCCCTCACGCAACGAACGTGTCGAAAAAATGGCCCCCTGCTAAACCGACGATTACGTAACCGCTCGTTCGGACTTTTTGAAAATTGATTTCATTTTCATTCTCGGACTTGGGGAATCGCTCCAATTAGCCGAGAATATAGATATAAAATGAAGAATTCAAGTGGGCAGATGGCCGAGTGGTCCAAGGCGGTAGATTTAGGCTCTATTCTCGTAAGAGGCGTGGGTTCGAACCCCACTCTGCTCAGTTTTGCCTATAAAACCAGCTACACTTGTGGTAAATTTGTTCTACTGTGCACCTGTTTATTTCACGGGCTACTATCCCCACTCCGCGACAGTCGTGTGCCTCCGCCCGCAGCCACTTTTCGCGGTGACAAGGCAAGCGGCGCCTAGGAAATGCCTGGGTAGTGATTCAAACCCAGCATTTACCCCTCCGAAAATTTCATACATACATTACACCCCAACGCCGATCCAACAGAGTTCAAACCGGCCTCTTGCGCTTTCCCTCCACATTCGCA